TTAAATACCAGCAGGGTTACCATTACCAACAGTAGACAGATTTCAGCTGCGCTTGCAGACAAAAAGAGACTAGGAAGAAGGCAAGAGAGACTAGAAAGAAGGCGAGAAAGACAGACCACTTCTGAATATTTAGTCACTGAAAACACTATGAATAGCAGTGGAACACTGTCACCACCAGAATCCTGAATTGAAACAAGAAGACTACCACCAAAATATTGTAAGATACAGTGGCAAAAAATGAGTCACTCAGGTTGGAAGGCACTCAAAATACAAGTAAAGAGCTGCCTCCTCAAAGTAGAGCTGATCATAATGATGGCAAATGGAGTAAAGCCCCGCGACCTTCATTTGTTGACGGGGCACAAATTGAAAAGAAACAGCTGTAAACAACCATTAATAATCACATCATGAAATGTACACAAAATGTGAATCCAGGAAACGGGAAATTGTCAAAAACTAACTTCAACACAAAAAACATCAATATTCTAGGCATTAGTGAGCTGAAATAGACTGGTATTGGCCATTTTTATTTTGATAACACATGGTTTTCGATGCTGGGAATGACAAATTGAGGAGGAATGGTGTTACATTCATCATTAAAAAGAACATAACAAGATCTGTCTTGAAGTACAATGCTGTCTGTGATAAGAAAATATCGATACGCCTACCACATAGATCGATAAATACTACTATTATTCAAATATATGCACAAACCACTAAAACCAGTGATGAGGAAATTGAAGAATTCTTGTGACCCTGCAGGATAATGCCCTGAACCCCAAGATATGTTTCAGCTGCAAGGTTGGTGATTCAAACACACCCTACAGGGTCACTATGAGTCTGAACTGACTCAATGGCAAGTAACAACTTAACAACCAATTTCTTCAGTCTGAAATTAATCAAACATGTAGTCAGGATGTATTGATACTGGTGATTGGCAGGCAAAGGTTGGAAACAAAGAGGAAGGATGAGTAGTTACAAAATATGGCGTTGGTGATAGAAACAATGCTGGAGAAACATCTCTGGCGTCACAGTTTCTCTGGGTAGGGTCCAGAAGTGGTGTAACGAAAAGAGGGAGTAGTTAATCTTTCCTTCCAGGAGCAGAGGACCCACAGAGGACCTTAGGCCCACCAAGAGGAAAAGAGCATGTGCGGAGTGTGGGTTCCTAACCACAGAAGCAGTGACACCAGAGACAGAAGCAGAAGTAATAGCATGGAGAGAAATAGACTCACGGACTGAGAAAGTCTGTTGTGCCAGCGGGCAGGAGTCTCGCTTGCAAAAGGTGCCTTTTGGTTGTTTAAATGAATATGTATTTTCTATGTGTTTTGTGTATATATAAAAAAAAAAAGAGGGTAGAGAGGCAAATACTGTTAACCGATGGTACACAGAAGGATTGTAACCACTGCAATGAAACAAAACACTATTGGTTGAGTGCAAGGTTAGTGATCTACCCTGTAAACGATCACTCAATTTACAATAAAAGCTTAAAAAAAGTCATTATGTGTCAGAACCAATTCGAAGACTTGTATTTTTAATCCCTGTATATACATGCAGAAACTTGAGAACGAATTACAAAAACCAGAGAAAAATTGCTTCATTTTCATTATGATTTTAATGAAGAATATTTAAAGTACTGGGGACTGACAGAAAAACAAACAAATCTGTCTTAAAAGAAAGACTGTCAAAATGCTCCTTAGAAATTAGGATGGCTACCGCCACATTCAATAGACTCCTGTGAACACGGGTGAAGACCTAGTTGGCCAGCAGTATGGCAAGACCTGGGGACTCTTGGGCCCAGAGTCAGTGACATAGCCACAGAGGACTACAGTGGAGAGTGAAGCGTCCAACTGATAAGAAAAGAGGGCATATGCACAAGAACACCCACACTTGCAGATAATATCCACTTGACCTGGTTTTGATGACTGGATGATCAGAACTCAACTACAAGACGAAAGAAGAGGAAAAAAGAGTAATCTGATACAATTTGATGAACTTGACCTACACCTATGGATGCAATATCTCAAAAGAGGGAACAAATCTTTACAACAAGGATCATTCCCATCCCCTTGGTACACAGGGTAGACAGGGATGCGCAACTTGGACATTGGCTACCCAAAATGGGGGGCTACCAAGGCAAGAAGTGACTGACTTATAAGCTTTCAAGAGGGAACCTAGATCCAGAGGGCATGGAGGAAGGTAGAATCTCCACTGAGTAGTATCCAATCTGTCTGGGCAGGGCTGATAAATGGAGATGGGGATAGGTCTCTTGTGGTACAATAGTGAATAATTGTTATCAGGACTGACTGTGAGGATTGGAAATGTAAAGGTAGACATTTTGTAGCAAAAGGAGGGGAGTGGTTGACTTTGCAGTCCAGGAGCAGTGTCCTTGGGACCATCAAGGGAGAAGAACAGAGCGTGGAAGGAACCCTATCCAGAAAAACTGTGATGCCAGAGATTGAGGCAGAGATGATGACCTGGAGAGATGGAGCAGCTGGGGACTCTAGACTCAGAGAGAGAGATGGGCTGTGTGCTGAAGACCAGGGGTCAGGCTTACAGGGTATACCCTTCATTGGTTGATGATGCATGGTGGGGATTGTCACCATGGCAATGAAACGATATATGATAGGATGAATGTAAAGCTAATGTTCTGCCATATAAACTATCACATAATTCACAATAAAACATTTTTTAAAAAAAGAAAAGAAAGAAACCAGGATGGTGAGACTTTTTCTCTTGGACTACGGACATGTTGTCAGGAGGGACCAGCCCCTGGAGAAGAATATCAGGCTTGGTAAAGTCAAAGGTCAGTGAAAAGGAAGAAGACCCCCAAAGAAATGGATTGACACACTGGCAACAACAATGGGATCAAAAAATAACAACTGTGAGAATGGCACAGGACCTGGTGGTGTTTCATTCTGTTGTGCATAGGGTACTTGAATCAGAACTGAATTAAAGGTACCTAACAACAATAAATTTAGTAAGGGAGAACAGATGAAATAGGAATACAGGAGATAACAAATCCAACTAAAGAGAATATGAAAATTACAAAGGACTACAGAAAGGAGTTCCGGTAGCATAGTGGTTACAAATTGCGTTGTTAACCTCAAGGTCAGTTCGAAATTACCAGCTGTTCCATAGGAGAAAGATGAGGCTTTCTGCTACCATAAAGATTTATAGCTTCAGAAACCCTACGCAGGGTACCTATGAGTCAGAATTGACGCCACAGCGCATAACCACCACCACCAAAGAAACAGAGACATATGATAACAAAAATGTTACTCATATTTCTAAGACAACAAACGGTTCACAAAGTACTTATCCTTCAATATCATTTAGTTCTTGAAACTAGGCTGAAGAGGTTATTATTTTCCATGTTAAAATGAAGAGTATTAAAGCACAGAGGCCTCTACAAAATTATTTCTGTATTTTATTAAGTAGAGATTCATATCTTTGTCTTACTGTACTTTCATCATCTACATTGTTGTTGTTGTTAAGTGCCGTCAAGTCGGTTCCGACCCATAGCGACCCTGTACAGGGTTTCCGAGGGTGTAAATCCTTACGGGAGTAGAAAGCCTCATCTTTCTCCCGCGGAGCGGCTGGTAGTTTCGAACCGCTGACCTTAAGGTTCGCAGCCCGATTCGTAACCACTACGCTACCAGAGCTCCTTCTACATTAACAGCCCTGAAAAAGTATTTTACTTTATGTTTGATAATGACCACTTTCCATCATCCTGTCTGAATCAATTTAATGCACCACCTCCATAAGCTCTGTGCCTCTCTTTTATCCTTCCCTCATCTATGCATACCTCTATTTTATGTATCTTGTGTGCTGTGGAGTCAATCCCATAACAAGTGGAGTATAACTAAACTCGTAACAACCCTATGTAACTAAGTAGGGTTTCTTTGGTTATAATCTTTGTGGAAGGAGACCACCAGATCTTTCAGCCACTGGGTCAATTAGCAGCCAAAACCTTAACCATTATACCACCAGGGCTCTGTATCTTATATATACCATTGTTGTTGTTAAGTGTGTTGAGTTGGTTCAGAATCATAGCAACCCTGTACAGCATCGGCCTTGTGACTAGCAGCCTAGGGCTTATCCAACATTGCCACACTAGAGTTCCTATATATATCAAATTACATTGAAATACCCTTAATGTCTATCTTTTCCCACTAGAATTGAGTTCTCAGGGAGACTAGGAACTACAGCCTATCTATCTTTGTATATACTGTGCCTAGTGGTATTCCCTTTAAAAGATAATGAAGCTTTTAAAGTCAGTAAAGAAGGACAAAGACACACTAATCATCATAAACTCAGCAGTACTAATAGTACTAAGGACTATGTTTTTGTTAAGTGCCTTTGTGTCAGTTCCGACTCAGTCTTTCTGTATAGGGTTTCCAAGGAACAAACTGGTGGGTTTGAGTGAATAATCACGAAGTTGGTAGTCCAGTGCTTATCCTACAACACCATATTAGGAGTCTACTAAGGACTAAGGAAACAGAAATATGATGATAGAATTACACTTGTTACAGAGAAAATGCTCAGTAAACATTTAAGTGAATAAATGTATAAAACTGTTCATTGTAAAAGATGAAAAGGTTTATAAAGTGAATGATTCTGATAAAAATTCAACTACCAAAATAAACAAAAAAACAACAACAAAGCATTCTAGATCACTTATTTCTAATCTTTAAAGTGCCACTTACTTTTTAACACCAGAACAAATCTTTTCCTTAAAAAATATATATTTGGAAGTAATTTCATTTTTGAGCTGATATCTCTTAAATCTTAGTGTAATTTTATAATGCAAGCATAAAGAATAGAATAAGCATCCTTGTTCCCTAATACATAGTCTAAGAAACAAAATATCACCAATAGTTTCTGCTTTTATATCATTTGCTTTCTGTCTTCTTAATTATTTCACAGGGGCAAGCAAAAGATAATTTGAAATGTGTGCTAATTAAAGTTTACACTACTGTGTGTGCTTTGCTTCCTTAACTCACTTTTCTGTTTTGAAGAATATTGCACAACCATCCACATGCTTTCTCTCCTGCTCAGACATGATTTTGGCACGTGACTTTGGAGAGAAAAATCCATCATATCCACGCTCCTTCAAAGCTGGCAGAAAGAGAGTGAAGTATTGCTCTGTTTCCACTTCCTGAGATGAAAGAAAAGTTATCATCTATATGACAGAAAAAAACCTGATATAAAATGCTAAACATTATGAGTTTACATTCAAATAATTCACTTAACAAATATTATCATCTTACTGCAAGTCATGACCATTTGACAACAGCAACCTTTTAAAGGTGAAAGAACCAGAAAGGTTAATGATTTTCTCAGACTGACACAGAACCAGCTGCTAGCAGAGTAGACTACATCTTAGGTTTCTTTACAGGCAATTTCAAAGTCATTCAACTATAATTCACTTCCCCAAAGCTAATAAACAAACAAGGTTGTTTATATCACAGGTAAAGTGGTTGCTGACTGATACTCATTAGGTGTTAGTGAGTTGTTCCACTCATAGTGACCCTATATGCAACAGAACAAAGCAACACCCAGTCCTCTGCCATCCTCACAATCATTGGTAGGGAATGTTGTTGTTGTTCAGTGCTGTTGAGCTAGTTCTGACACATAGTGACCCTGTATAGTTTCCAAGGAGTGGCAGGTGAGTTTGTACCACCTTGTGGTCCAGTGCATTATCCCAAAACATCACACCAGAACTCCTTAGTAGGGAAAAGTAAATATTATTTATTTTTTATTGTTGTTAAGTTCCTTCGAGTTAGATATGACTCACAGCAACCCTGTATAGAGTTTCCAAGGAGTGGCTGGTGGGTTTGAACCACTGACCTGTAGTAAGGAGTCCAGTGCTTATCCTACAACACCACAACAACCCTTCAAAATTTTATATATAAAGAGTAATTTTTAAAATTATTTATTCTTTTCATCCTTGGTGAAAAGGAATGATATCCAAGAATAAGAAGAAAATGCTCAATTTAATAAATTTCTATGTTAAGTAAGCACTGGATTGCTAACCACAAGGTTGGCAGTTCAAACCCACAGCCACTCCTCTGAAACACTATACAAGATTGCTATGAGTCCAAAGCAACTAGATGGCACTTAGCAATAACAACAACAAACACCAATTATCCTAGGTCGCTGCTAAGTGGGCAATTACTAATTAAGATTAATTTTTCTGAGATATAAAATATTTTAACATGAAATAATCAAATATGAAGATAATAATTCATGTGTGAAGATTCTTTTAACAGTATTATTTTTTCACAATAAAACCCCAAAAGATCTAAACGTCCTAGAGCAGGGAAAAAGCTAAATCAATTAAAATAGATTTACAAAATTAACTATTTTCAAAGAATTTTATTAATATGAGACGTGTACTAGTGCAAAAACAATATGCTAAAAGTGTTATCCCAATTTAATTAGAAAATACATCTATAAATAAATAGATAAGCAAACAGAAAAAAATGTCTATATGAAATACACTTGAAATTTTAACACAGCAACTATCTCTGAGATACAGAATTATGTTTCCCCATCATGGTTTACATTTTTCGACTTTTCAACTTCTCCAAAAAAAAAATTTATTTTCATATGAAAATAATAATTTTTTATTAGAATGATACTCTTCTCCAAATTATGCTTTCCTTAGGAGGGTATGAGATGGTTAATTACTAAAATACTTTATGAAAAAAAAAAAAAAGAGGACAGTTAAAAGTTATAACAGCCTAATTTTTCCTCTCACTCTTCATCAACTGATTATTCAAATACATGATAACCTTTTGGAGGTTTTTACGTCTTATTCCTTAGGAAGTCATATGAACCATGTTGCTGTTAGGTGCCCTGGAGTTGGTTCCAGCACACTAGATCCCTTTAAGAGGACCCCATGCACAAAAGAATGAATACATATGTGAACCACACATATTTTAAATTATCAAGCTACTCTAGTAGGGAAAAAAATTAAAAATAATAAATACTCGTCTTAGGCTATGTTGGAAATGTGTGCAATTATAAAACTTAAAGATACTGAAATCCATTTAAACACTCAAAATGATGTGAAAATTGCTAGGAAAAAAATTAGTAAAACCTACCTGAGAGAAAAACAAAACACATTTTATGAAAAAGGTGCTTCTTTTTCAGTTGAATTAATTATATTAAAGTATAAAATTTTTGAGGAATCTAAATCTATAAAAATGCATGATTTATAGTATGATATTTTACATGTTTAAATGTTTATCTTTTAAGGAACAATTGCAGGTAAGCACTTTTTCTTTTTAACAGATTCCATTATAATTCATATTATACTCCTGAAAGGTCTGCAATCATCTGCAGTTTTCTCTTTTAGTAAAACCAATGATTTACTCACACGGATAAACTGTTAACATGGAAAATTTGTTGTTGTTGTTAAGTGCCGTCGTCGAGTCAGTTCCAACTCATAGTGACCCTATATAGGATTTCTAAGGAGCAGCTGGTAAACCTGAACCACCAACCTTGCAGTTCAAACTGACCTTGCAGACCAGCCCATTAACTCACAGCACCACACCAGGACTCCAACATGGAAAATAGGTGAGGCTATTTTCACTTAAGAAAATAAATGAATGTTAAAGTAAGTGGATAGCTGTATTCAGCACAATTGTTTTACTGAGAAAATGACATTTAAAATGCATATGAAAATTGTCTTTTTCTTTTTTTAAGAGGAGAGTAAGCAATTCCTTTTGAGTTTTGTTTTGAATACAGTATCTCACCCACAGGTTAGATACTAAGTTTACCTTTAAGTTAAAAACAATTTAATTTCTATAGTGTTACCTGAAGACTAATGATATCTGCGTCACAGTTAACAATTTCTTCCATAATTCCCTTTTTCCTGTATTCCCAATTTAATGCCCAGGATGGGCAATAGCCATATAGCTGCCGGGTAGCGTATTTATCACATAACACATTGTAACACATAACCGTGAATGATGCTAAGAAGTGGGAGAAAAAAAAATAGCAAACAAAAGGGAGAAAATTAGGCAACTTTTTCTAGAGCAATATCATGTGTACAACATCTAGATAAACACACATATGCATCCTAAAAATCATCACTGTGAAATACCTAAGTCAAGATTTTCTGCTTAACTCTTCCTACTAATACCAAATTGGAGTATATCACACCAAGTTCTTCTACTCATCTACGATTAGACTAAAAGTCCATATTTTAGATTTTTTAGAAAATTTATTTTAACAAAAAGGTAATTCAAATTTTGTCAGAATGCTCATTTTTATAAATAATTTGCTAATTAAAGCTTTTCTATAAATGGAACAAAAGTAAATTTCAACTCCATTCTGATTAAAAGACTCTAATTTCATAAGTTTTCATTTAAAAAATATCTATAATGAATACTATTTATGTGTCTCTCACTGCTAAGGCACTATTACCATGGGAACTTTTAACAAAGCTTAATTAGAAGAGAATTTCCTTTCTGCCAAAAGCAAATGTTCACTCTGAAACAAAATTTTCATTTAAAAATGCCCTAATATTTTAAAAGGACTGTGCAATAACTTATAAAGTCAGAAGACCATTTCTAGCTTTTATATTCAAATGTGCTCTAAGGACCAGCAGCATCAGTGATCACCTGGGAACTTTCAGAAATGCAGAATTTCAGGTCCTATTCAGTCAAAATCGGCAATTTGCCAAAATCTTGAAGTGACTCATGCATGGTTAGTATTTGAGAAACCTAGATTTATATTAATAATTCTCTATCCTGGCTACCCATTAGTATCACTTTGTAGAGCTTAAATTACATATTTAAAAAGCTGACATCCAAAAGAACAAAACAAACAAAAACAGCTGGTGTTGAGTTGATTCTGGCTCATGATAAACCATATGTGTAAGAAGAAACTTCTTCCATAGAGTTTTCAAAGGAAGGGATTTGGGAAAGTATTGTCGCCAGGTCTTGCTTCTAAGGTGCCTCCAGGTAGACATCTCTGTGAAAATCTGTGTAGTAGCAAAGCTTTATTAGCCATTTGTACAACCCAGAGACTCAAGAGTCAGAATATTAGAGCCTGGGCATTCATATATTTTTTAAAAGTATCCCAAGTGATTACAATGAACAAGCCTGGTTGAAAATCACTTGTTTTAAATAAACTATTCAGATAAATGGACTGAAGTTGGTTTTGTTTCAAGGGGTCTGACTGGTATCCATTTTGTACACTAGGGGACATATCTCAGTGTGAGATAATTTTTTTCTCTTGCTATTTATCTGAGATATAACCCAGAACTATTTAATTCTGTTAAGCATTGTTGTTAACTGCTGTTGAGTAGTTCTGACCCACAGCAACCCTGTATAGCGTTTCCAAGAGAGGCTGATGGGTTTGAACTGCCGACTTTGGGATTCAAACTGACCTTGCGGCCCAGCACATTAACCCACAGCACCAAACCAGAACTCCACTCTAAAGTGAGCATCCTGCATTTACCTTACTCTGCCTCTCTAGATTTGAAATGTCCTCTGGGAGTGGAAGGAAAAGAAACAAGGCAGATTGTTATAACCTTCATTCACAATTTTTTTTCTAAGACTTCACGACATGAAATTTTATTATAGAAAAGGCCAGAAATTACTATTTCTACCATAGGTACCAACTCTAAACCAAACCCATTGCCACTGAGTAGATAGGTCCAAGTGACCTATAGGAAAGAGTATGTTGTTGTTAAGTGCCGTCGAGTCGGTTCCGACCCATAGCGACCCTGTACAGGGTTTCCGAGGGTGTAAATCTTTACGGGAGTAGAAAGCCTCATCTTTCTCCTGAAGGAGCTGCTGGTTGTTTCGACCCGCTGACCTTAAGGTTCACAGCCCAATTCGTAACCACTACGCTACCAGAGCTCCTTATAGGAAAGAGTATAAGAAGTGCCAAAGGGTTTCCAAGGCTGTAAACTTTACAGAGTCAAACTGCCACATTTTTCTGTTAGCAGTTGAGTTCTTAACCACTAAAGCCACCAAGGCTCCTTATAATGTGTACAAAACTATTCAGTAGTAATACTTAAGACAGACGTAGCAATGTTTAAACATGGGGGATATAAACGAAGTTGCTTTCAGCACCATTCTCCCATACTCAGCTTATACAAAGCACCTTTTTCACTATCTTGGGTTTGATTACAACATAACTTAATTATCATTAGAATTTTGTGAGTATAAACCATTCGTAACCATGGCCAGCTATTATAGCACATCCCAAATGCATTAAAAGAAGCAAAAGGCATTTTTTAAACCACCTTCCTTTTTAGAACAAAGTTTCCATTTAGGGAAGCACTATGTATCCCCTTCCCCCCCCCCCCCCCCCCACCACACACACCAAAAAATCCACAGTAGGTTTTCAACAAGAAAAAGCCAAGACTACTATTTAGAATTTAGCAACTAATAAAACTGACATAGTGTCTCTTGTAGCAGGTTAATATTACAGCTGTATAGTGTGGTATTTTAAAAAAATTATAACCTAAGGAAGACACACACGTACTGTATACAGTAACAGTGCATGTTTTTAAAATGCAAACAGAAACTGTTACACTTCCCACATTTCCAAACATTGTTATTCCAATATTAAAGCAAATGATTCCTCTTATTAACTTTAACTGAACCTTAATTTACTTAATCGCTGAATCCTATTACCTAAGTGAAAAAAAGAGGATGTAAAAAAGGGAGAAGAGCTATATCATTAAAAATATATGCAAGAAATTCTAACTTTCACTTACTCTAAAAACGATTAAAATTACAGTAATTAGTGATTAGCCTAAGGTTCACTATGAGAAAATTTTCATTTGTAAATTTAAAAATGAAATTATATAGTGAAAATGTATTATTACTCGTGTGATGTTTTAAAGTATTTGGATAAATACTAATGATAGCAACTATATTAAATAGACTTCCCAATCCAAAACTATCTAATATGTTAATAAGAAGCTCTGAAAATGTCAAATCATTACTGGAATAATGAAAGAAACAATATAGTGCTAGATTATACTCTTAAATTTCTAACACTCATTCTGTACTATTTCTAAACCTCAGGCTTAGTATCTTATTTTCTTGCCAATATTAAAAATAAATACCCAGTTTATATTATTTTTCCGATGACAGTCCACCCTCTCAGGAAAAATGAAGTGCCTAAACTGTTTAAATTTTCTCAAGAGAAACATATTTTTATTCATTTTTCTTAAATCAGCTATAACCTGTGGAAACATGTCATTTAGAAAAGTGTATTGCAGGAATAGTTTTAAAACCAAAAGTTGTATGAGGGGGGTTTGAAAAAACTGGTGGGAAAATGAGACTGAAGGATAAGGGAATTTTTCCATGAACTTCTGAAGCCTCTTTACATTGCTATGAAAGATACAAGAACTTATACACGGTGTAAGATAGTATGTTTCTGTTTTTGTTTTCTAAATCTTTTCATCAGTATTTTAAAACTTATCTATAAATATAGATAAAGAGTTGTTAATTATAATTCACAAAGTATTTCAGAAAAAGGTCAAAGGAAAAAGAAAAAAATTACCTGAGGGCAGAATTTGGTCTCGTTCTTTTAAAGTAATCCATGGCCTCGGAGGAAGCTGCTCTGGATGAACTGAAAAAAGTTGTTTTTTAAAACTAGTAAGTAAATTTTATGCTTCTAAAATTAGCATTATTTATTTTACTATATCAAGTCAATTTTTGTTTTGTCTTCCTCTATAATGGTCCACAAACAAATTTAACAAGGCAACATTGAATTTTTAAAGATTTAGAAACTAAATGAAGTTTAAGAATAGCTACAAACATCAGAAAAGGAAATTCGGAAATTCACTACTGGAATTTCCATGAACATGGTATTTATTAAAAACTATAACTTAAAACATTAATTTTAATATCTTAAGTATTACGCAAACTGTCTCAGCTCAACTTTGTTCCTTACTACGATGATAAACTATGTGAAGTTCCAAATACTGATAAACTAAAACACCAAAAAAATTAAATTTGAAAAATAAATAAGATTTTACAATAAGAATTACTGAATTTACCAATGGAGTTATTGTTTCTTAATTTTAATATTTTAATATTTTTCTCTTTAATAAAGTCAGAACAGAAAGATAAGAACAGAATTAACTTATAAAGAAAAAACAAAGTACTAGTAAAACAATAATTGCTTATATACAATTATCAATATCATGGAGTAATATGCTACCCAACAACCAGAATGAAAATTCATTAAGATTTATCTATTATCTAGCCCGTTTTATTATTCCTCTTAAAATTTTTTGCAACTGTACTCCAACTTGATTCAAGTTTGCAGATATGCCAAACTTATTAAACCAGAAAAACATGTCAGTTGTTATATACTAAATTCTGATCATGGTGATACTGAACCCCATGTGTGTCAGAGTAGAACTGTGATCCATAGAGTTCCCAATGTCTGTATTTTTCCAGAACTAGATTGCCAGGCATCCCAGCACCACCCCTCAAGGTGCCTCTGGGTGGACTTGAACTAACCTTTCAGTTAGCAGCTAAGCAGTTAACCATTTGTGCCATCTGGGGACTGAAAATATATTCCCTTACAACAAAAACACATCTTTATTCAGTTACAGACATATTTTGGTTCAAGCATCCAAGATCATAAAGAGTGAACATTATTAACCATTGTTGTAGTACCCTAAGTCTACCTAAAGGATGCTTGGTATGGCAGTCATACTTTTCACAGAGTGGCGTGAACATTATTTAATAGTTTCAGTATCTACATAGGGAAGGAAATGAAGTTATCATAAGAAGATGAGTATCATGCAGTTGGTCCAACATATTTTGTGTCTTGGAAAATAATGATGCTTGCTAAAAGTGTCATAGCAGAATCATGATAACTGTTTCAATATGGAAAGCAATGTAAAGTAAATAAGGAGCTTTCCAGCTACTGGAATCTTTCTTGGCAAATTCCACCTAAACTGACTTTGTTAAAAATTCAGTAAAGTGATGACAGTATGTTACTATATGCTATGCTGAGCTGTGTGCCCTAAAAATGATACGATGAATTTGGACCAGAATTTGAAGAACAGATACGATGCATTAAAAACTAAAGAACAAAGACTAGAAGAGTTATGGGATGACATCAAGAACATCAAACAGAAAGAAAGCAAAAGGTTATTAAGAAGAAAGGGTGGGGGGGAGGATGTGAGAAGACACTCCACAACTTACTCTGCAGTGTAGAGATGCCAAAGCAAATAGAAGAAATGAGGAGGTAAAAGAGATAAATAGAAAATTTCAAACAACAGCTCGAGAATTGAAGTTAGAAAATCAAAAGGCAAGAACATGAGCAGCATTTTTCAAGTTGAGGGAAATGAAAAAATTCAAGCCTCATTTTGCAATACTGAATGATTCCAAGGGCAAAATATTGAATGTTTCAGAAATTATCCAAAGAAGATGGAAGGAATACACAGTCACGGTACCAAAAAGAAACGGTTGGTGTTCAACTATTTCAAGAGGTAGTATATGGATCACAAGGCAATCAGACAGAGCCACAGAGGACTAGAGTGGAGAGTGAAGCGTCCAGCTGATAAGAGAGAGCATATGCATAAGAACACCCACACTTGCAGATAATACCCACGTGTACTGGCTTCAATGACTGGATGATCAGAGTTCAACCAGAAATAAAAAGAAGAGGGAAAAAAAAGTATTCTCATACAATTTGATGAACCTGACCTACACCTATGGAATCAGTAGCTCAAAAGAGGGAATAAATCCTTACAGCAAGAATCATTCCCACCCCCTCCACACAGAGTAGAAAGGGATGGGCAACTTGGACATTGGCTAC